TGTCAATTCGATCCGCTGTAGACCGCAAGTGTCATGTTGGAACAGAGTAAGAAGCGTAAACTTTAGGGTTTTTGAAGTATACTGCTAATGACAATGAAATCTAATGAACATATCTCGAATGCGGCGGCACCTTTTGACAAGATCTCGCACTATATGACCTACTTCCACCCGATGTTAGGATTTCACAGGATAACAAAAACACCATTACAACTTACATCGGAACTAACCAACGTACCAAAAACAATCATGAACACTGCCTTGACTGTGGGCCTACAGGATGCCTGACAAACATGCAAGGTTCTCTTCTAGCTTCCCCAAATGAATTGACAGGGCCGGAGTGATTGCATCTACGATTCCTTGGCTTCACATGATCAAGAACATCTAGACAGGCTACAATTTGATCTTCGCGCATCTACTGTATTGCAAATGCACATGTTACCCGAATGACATGCCAGGACCACACTGCACCCTCCACAGTGCACGAGACCCAGCGAAGCTGTGTCAGGCCAGACCAGGGTGACTCCTTGCAGTCCGTTTCTCAGGCAAGCTTCATCGATCCGGCTTTCTGTGTGCTGTAGCAAAACGGAACAACTCTTTCCCTATTTGAAGCATGGATCAGCTGTTACGGCCAAGATTGGCTTACAGTAACCAATTTCTCACACCATTGACATGCTAGCTTTATTCATCTTTATTCAGTTCATTCCACCATTGCCATTCATTTGAAGGGAACATGAGGGGACCTAGAAGACCCTCGAATCACCTTCAGCACCATTCCTGAGCAACCACTTGTCTGCGCAAATTACATTAATTCTTAACCCAACCTCGTCACCTTGTTTACGGTCGCTCTAATTTGCGCAGATTTCTGAGCATCCACATGTGTCAAAGAAGAAAAAACAATCCCGCAGAAGCAGCTCCTCCGAGCCCACACCCGTCACTAGCAGTGCCCACTCTGACATGATGCCCAAAGGATCCTGGACATGATGCCCGTGACCGGAGGTTGGAGGGGCTGTTGCAGGGACAACGGATGTGACAGGACCTGTCACACGCAAAAAAAGAGAGAACCGAACAAGGGATGGGCCTTTCCAGTCCTGGTTGCTACTTTCTGCTTTGCAAATCTTTGCAAGAAGTACAGTCAGTAAGGGTCTCGGTCTAGTCTGGGTGTACTCGGTGTCGCTGACAGTGCATTTTCAGTACTTGCAAAACAGTTTACAAGACAGAGCAGCTGTACAAAACTCTCGTCCAACCACAATCAGGTCCGATCTATGTGACAGAATACATTTGGTGTCAGGTGCCAGGTGGAAAGCAAGCATACTTCTGATTTTTGGGCGATTTCTGATACCTGCATGTCTTATCTAGGGGGCAGGGCAAATGAATGCCGCTTGGTTGTTCTGAGTAGCCTGTTTCGGCACATCACTTGAAGTACCATCGTTGCCTGCGATGGATCAAAGCATTCTTCCTCAGCTGCAAACTCGCCTTGGAGGCAGCGAGACGAACTGCTGATGAAAGCAGCCAGGCTTGATCCCTTATCGCAATATGACCACGAACACCACATCAACCAAGACGTAGGTATTTCAGGCATTCCGCATGCCTATGGTTCCTCTAAGGCTGCAACTCCCGCCTTCGGACTTGGAGGGAAATTGGCCCTGACAAACTGAAACCATTCGCAGATATTCACAGTATATATATATAGGAAACATCCAATTGTCACAGTCAGAAGCTGTCAATATCTCCTGAGAACTAATCATGTACACAGCTTGTGGAAATTATATACTTCGCACATTTGCAAGGCACGTAACGAATGAATGCGAGCAAAACAATGATTGCAATACATAGCACGAACCCTCACATTCCAATCTTCGCAACAACCACTCCTGTTTTGTATAAGCTGATTCGCGTCTGGGGCATTGCGCAGCAGCCATATGGTTCATTTGCTTTTCGACATTTTTGACGCTTTCTCATCGCTGGCCTCCCGAGGCCGTTTCCGGAGACCTGCTGGTTGTGAATCTGCGGCATACGGCAAGTCTGAGGCTGCAAGACGACGCAAGCGAAGACGGAACTGACCCAGATGAGCATCACGCTCAGTCCAGGTCAAGATGACCTCCATAAACGAAGTGAGAGCAGGCCGCAAATCAATCTGCAAAGATGCATGGGCACCGGCTTCAGGTGTGAACGACAGTCCGAGAAACATGTCACACCCAAAGGGCCACTCCCCATCACTTTCCAGCAGGTCATACTGCAAAGGGTTCGGATGAATCCTCATTCCATTCACTACTTCCAATTGCATCACCAGAATCCGCAGCTTGCTTTCCACCCACCCGCTGAACTTGTTATAGACATCCTCTGATTTTGCTAGGATCTCAATCATGAGGAAGTGCTTGAACTCTTGAAAGAAGGGAAAGGGTGCATACACATCACACCACTCTGCCTTGTTTCCTTCCACATTTTGCACCATTTCAAATCCTCTTTTGAATTCATCAAGCAAAATACGCTTGGTCGTTTCGGTCACATTGTGTGTGGAATTCATGGATGGGAAAGCTGGAGTGATCACCGGCATCACATGTTGTCGGTCGGCGGGGTTTGACTTTGGGTTCCACACCTTGAACGCCGACATGCCCGGAACCGTGGCAGGATATTCCAAAATGTCACAGAGAGTCACCGGCTTTGCCCAATTCCATTGCCATTGATGATATAATCGGAAAAAGCGGTTCACCAATTGATTTGGTGCATAGTATGGATAGAGCTGGCATATCCGAGCCACCAGCAGGGACCAGGTGATTCCTCCAAAGAAGCCCACAATGTTGGAGTAGATACCTCTTCTTCTCGCCCAATATTTGATGAATCTCAAAGTTCGCCGAAAGGTCTCCTCGCTAGGAGACGACCCCCAAAGATGGCTAGAACCCCAAGTTGTTTCATTCAACAGTTTGATATACACATGCCTGATATGTACTGGCAATTTTGGGTAACTACTTTGTTTTCATTCAATTCAACTCTTAAAAAATTGCTCCTTGAGGGGCTTATGACCGTTGCAGTAGTCTACACATGACCTCTGTTCAAATGACTGTCCGCCAGCTGGTCTTAGGGGAATATATGTGAACATGTTTTCACACAAACTCCCTTGAAAGCCTTGACGCTCAACCAGGAGCCTCAGGACCAAGGAAAGAGGTCCAATTCCCAGGGTAGAGAAACATCGTTTCAGAAAAACCACACTAAAGCTACCTTTGGATAGGTTGGACATCTCAAAGTTTACGCAACCCCGTGGGCAAGAAATCGAAAGGTTTAAGGTCGGTCTAACCACTCTAATGAGTCATCATGTAAAATCGTCTTGCGCGTGACCTCAGTCTCCTGGTTGGGCACCAGCTTCAGGATCTGATCTGCGACCCGGAAACCATTCAAGCATCGAACACTCTTCTCGTCCATGTTCTTTAAGACCTCGTCTTCCTTTGCAACCTCCTCTGCAACTTCGGCCTCTGGAGGTCTTGCAAGGCGAGCAAAGAGTAGATCGATGCAAACACCTCTCATTTTCAGCTTGATGATGGGTGTATACGCATCTGGGATCGGCACACATTCACTCACATCTTCATGCTGATCAAGAACTGTTGCAAAGGTTGAGAAGAAGTCCTCTCTCCGGACGAAAGGTGGAGCGATGCAAAGGGTGTCAATGTCACTTCCAGGATGCACAACACCCAGCCTGTAAGACCCCAAGGTTGTGATTTTCACTGTGGACTTCTTAATCTCCTCCTCTGAGATGTTTGCCTCCATGCATTGCTTTAACATCCATTCGTGAAAGAGTCGTTCAAGCTCTTGAAGCACTCCCTGGCGTCTTTCCATGCCTTCAGGTGTTTCAGTGGGAAAAACCATTTCGAGCTCTTCCTTCATCCGCTCGCTCAAGACCAGGTCATGTGCCTCAGCTTCCTGCAAAGAGATCGGGTCGGAGATGCCATACCTCACAGCTGGCCCCAGCTTTGCCGATGAAACGGAAGCGCCCGGCGAGGATTGGCTCATGGGCGAGGATTCGCTCCGCTTTGAGCCACGGAAATGGCCACTCCAAATAGCTAGATTGATTCATCATTGGTCTTGCATACCGTATCAATCATACCGTATCGTGAAGCTATGTGAAGACCCCATGTGAAGCTTCCATTCATGAAGTTCAGCTCATTCTCCTGCATAGCCCCTCAGGCCTGACTTGCCCAACCTCAGCAAGAGAGATTCTTCAACGGCTGGTTAGCTGATACGTTTATGTGTTGTTTTTCTTCTGTGGTAATCCAGAAACAAGTCCTCGCTCTCTGAACCGATTGAACATCCACAAAACGGGCTTACGACTTACACCAAATACATGCAAAGACTACAATAGTAATTCGCCATAATACTCGCTAATGACATATTATTGACATTTATTGACCATAATATCTATTGCTTTCAGTCGTATTATGTCGGATTATTCCGGGAGATCGCTCTTCGGATCACCGTCAGTTTCACCGAACGAATTCCTCCGAGCGACGGCCAGCCACTCGCTGCGAGGGATGTCGCTGGGGTGTCTGACGCCTTAGAATCATCGGCAAAATTCGTACCCAATTGGTAGCACACCTCCATCATTTGGGGAGCGGCGGGAGTAAAAAATTGGATTGGGTTGCAAAATACTGCAAGTATGGAAGCGGCGTTCAGTGTGAAATCTTGGTTTGGTGCGGTGTCAAATCACCGTCCTCAGAAACTCTTGATGATCCACTTGTATCCACTTGTAACAAGACTTTTTATTGAGGTCGAGTCAGCTCTAAGAACACCTACTAGCGATGGCCTCCAACCTACTAGCGATGGCCGCCAACCTACTACTTATAGACTCTAAGAAAAGCATGCTGTTTATATCTCTTTATTAGTAACAAGAAGTTACTAGGGGCTCCTGGCCTTACTACTAGGAGCAAGGACGCTACTAGGGGCTCCTGGCATCGCTACTAGGAGCATTCTTACAGACCTTTTTCAAAGGTCAGCTTCGACCTTCGAAGCTCAAAAACCGACCCTTCGGATCAGCTCCCCTCAGCCCCAGTCGGCCCCATTCGGCCCCCGGGCTTCACAAACTTGTAAGCTCCAACCTCCCGCCACTCCGACCACCTCTCGGCTGCCCCAAAGGGCGGAGTCCGTCAGGATCTGTTGTGTGAGTCTGACTCTGTGACAATCAATAGCTTCTTGTTACTACTAGCGAGGCACCTGTTACTACTAGCGTGGCACTTGTTACTACTAGCTTCTTGTTACTACTAGTAAGGCACTTGTTACTACTAGCGAGGCACTTGTTAAAAGCAGATAAAACCATTCTTTTTGACGCTGTTTGTGTCTAAAGGTACTAGTAGTTGTCCATATAACATCATATAACCATGTCGAACTCCTTGACCAAAGCCTAAGACGCAACATCGTTGGGACACAGTCATGACGGAAATACTGCACAGCAAGGGCATCAAGTGTTCTGCTAAATGTTATTTTTTCTTAACATTTCACGACTGTGACCATGATCATGACTCTGTGTGACTGTGACCTCCCTGCCTCGGTGGCTCCTTAGCCGGAGCTGTGGCAGTCTGATATCCCAGTCTGCTGCGGAGATATTTGGTCGCATGCGGACTCGTGACTCGGGTCAACGAGTTGAACCATTCGACCCCCATGTCTCAACCAGTCCCTTCTGCATTTGAAGGCCATGCTTCACCGGCTGAGGCAGCCCTCAACACCCGGCATTGCACGCGGAAGGGCAGCGGAAATTCACCCTGAGTGCAGATCTGACTTCATCCGTCAAACGATCCCCGTACTGTTCTAACGTACAGGGCATCTTACACTGACACTACAGGAGCTTACGTAAAAGCGGTTTGGTAGTCTGTCCTACAAGTATCATTGAATCATTGGCCGCAGTCCACTGCAACAGATGGATCCGACACAAGACTCAAACGACCTCCAGAGATCATCCTGGTCCTCCTTCTACTGTGTGGGTCGAAAACCCGACAAAAGGAGAAAAACCATGAGTGGCGTATGGGAATTGAGGCGCGAGCTGGCAAAGCCTTCGGGACGAAGGGCCCCTTGTGCCAGTCTCCACTCTCCATCTCGCAGAAGTGGGCTGGATGCCGGAAGGGCCAACGGAGAACCATGGATCCCAGTCCTGCCAGCTGCATGGGCTTCTGAGATTGACAGAAACACCAAAGCTGCTTGACCTGTGGAAGTTTCTTGTGAAAGCATACACAGCATCTCCCCGTGGTGGCTTAAATTGCGTCCTCCCCCTTGTGCGTCAGGTAGGAATTCAGTGGACAGGAATGGTTCCGGTGATGGCAATGCTGTCAAGAGCTCCGGCACAAGCATCAGCTGGGACCAGCAGTATTTTGGGCCTGAGGATGTAGAGGTAGATCGTTACTAGGAGCGATCGGACGCTACTAGGGGCTCCCGGCCATACTACTAGTAACAAGAAGCTATTAGAAACAAGGGCCTTACTAGTAGTAACAAGCGCATCGCTTCTAGTAACAAGTGCCTTACTAGTAGTAACAAGAAGCTATTAGAAACAAAAAGAACACTTCAAGTTGGTGCTCCAGTGCTCCAAGATGCTCCAAGCAACAGCTGTTTTAGGGCATCTGTTGCACATCTTTTGCATCAGCTCCGGTGCTAGGAACAGCCACAGCAGGCATGCTTTGGCTAAGCTCCACACTGAAGTTGGTCTCCAAAGGCAAACTCAAATAGCGCGCTTTGACACCTCGCAAGCAAGGTGTCTTTCCTTCCAGATTTTTGAGGAGAATTGGTCCAGCCGAACACATACAACATTCGTACAACTGCATACTCCTCCAAGGCACTAAAGTACACCTGTGAGAGTGGTACCAAAGGCGTCTTCCGAAGGTCCACTTCGCACTCAATGATCTTGCCCTGCACCTCGCAATCAGCAACAAAGAAAACTCCAAGACAATGGGACATGCTACCGGCACCTACCGGCTACATGACACTGATTCGATCAATTCGATGGGTCTGGCTGGGTCGGCTGTGGCGAGTCCATTGGACTCGCGTCACCGTGCCCCAAACCTTCGGGGCTGCTGTGGCCGCCATGGCCTGATCACTCTTCACAGTGGTGACGAAGATCGGCGTCGCATTGAGCCACTCAGGCCCTGCGCCAGGGATTCGACTGGGCCTCAGGAGGACAATCGATTTCCAAACATGATACAACTCGAATGTGACATGACCAAAAACACCCAAAAACCGGTGCCTTCCTCTCTTCATCTCTCTTTCAACTCCTTCGATGTCCTTCGACTTCTGTGCATCCAACCCCCAAAGGAACCTACTGCACCAAGCGACTGATCCAATGAACGGGCGTAGGCGTGCAGCTCTTCGGTGCTGGCAGCACCCAGCACATCAGGCCTCTGCCAGGCCTCCCGAGAATCATCAAAAATGGGGTCTCTCAAAACTGCAATTCCTTTCAAACCAATGGGTTTGAAACGCTATTCTAGTAATTCTAGTAGGCAAGCTGGCATCTTTTGTCCGACTTTGATTAGATACCCAAGAATACCAAAGCCAGCTATCGCATGTTTGATGAGATGCGCTGCAATCACTGCAAGTGCTTTGGGTGTCATGCAGCCCTTGGCAACAGCATGGCCTCTATGCAATACTCCACTGGCAAGGGGCTTCGCGAGTCAAAGGTCCCAAATGCAGGAAATGCCACGTGCAGCACGTGGTCTTGCACCCCGAAGGCCTGTGGGATGCGCTCAAGGAAAATGGATTAATAGCAGCTCCAAACACGTCCAGCCCTCAAAGTGCGATCTCGGGTTGAGGGTGGTGCGTTGTTGTCGTTGTCGCTGTCGCTGTCGTTGTCGTTGTGGTTGTTGTGGTGGTGGTTGTGGTGGTGGTTGTGGTGGTTGCGGTCGGTGGTTGTGGTTGTTGTGGCTGTGGTTGTTGTGGTTGTGGTTGTTGTGGTTGTGGTTGTTGTGGTTGTGGGTGTGGTTGTGGTGGTGGTTATGGTGTGGTGGTTGCGCTGGTTGTTGTGGTTGTGGTTGTTGTGGTTGTGGTTGTGGTTGTGGTGGTTGTTGTGGTTGTTGTGGTTGTGGTTGGGGTTGTGGTTGCGGTTGCGGTTGCGGTTGTTGTTGTTGTTGTGGTTGTTGTTGTTGTTGTTGTTGTTGTTGTTGTTGTGGTCGTGGTTGTTGTTGTTGTTGTGGTTGTGATTGTTGTGGTTGTGGTGGTGGTTATGGTGTGGTGGTTGCGGTGGTTGTGGTTGTGGTTGTGGTTGTGGTGGTTGTGGTGGTTGTGGTTGTTGTGGTTGTTGTGGTTGTTGTGGTTGTTGTGTTTGGGGTTGCGGTTGCGGTTGCGGTTGGTGTGGTTGTGGTTGTGGTTGTGGTTGTTGTGGTTGTTGTGGTTGTTGTGGTGGTTGTGGTTGTTGTTGTTGTTGTTGTTGTTGTTGTTGTTGTTTCACCATACCCAAGTTGTCAAAAGGAACCATTTGCTGTTCACTGCCCTCAGGAATGCGTCACAAGCACTCCACGTGTCGCACCTGGGACCGGGATGGCTTTTCCATTCGGATGGCTATGGCTATTCCATTCACTGATCTGGACAAAGGGTTTAGCGTGCCATGAAACATGTCGTGGTCCCTCAATGTATATAGCCTGTTTGAGAAACTAGGCCACTGGGAATACGCCAACCTTGATCAACACTACCTCAGACCGGACGACCCTCTTTGGGCTGCAGCTTCCAATGTGTCGACCGCTCTGGCGCCTCCATGGCTGGCTCTTGGTGCAAAAACTCGCAACGCATGTGCACGTTGGCAGGCTCCAAGTCGCAGGCCTATCCAGTCCATTGGGTGATTAGAATACTTCAGATTCTTTGAGAAAAAGCACTTCGACTCTCCATCTCAATCTCACTACTTCGACTCTTCGACTGAAAGGTGAGGCGATCAGCTGGGTCTCAAACGTCAGTTCTCATGGCCGTATGGGTGTGTTGACTAGTAGCATCCGATCGCTCCGTTCGTAGCGTAAAATAGGGAGACCTCTCAGTTTGACCAGTCTATCCATTGGTCATTGGGCCAGGAGATCTTCCTATTAAGGAGCTACTAGGAGCAAGGACGCTACTAGGGGCTCCTGGCCTTACTACTAGGAACAAGAAGCTACTAGGGGCTCCTGGCATCGCTACTAGGAGCAAGGACGCTACTTGGTGGTTTGACATTCGAGTCACTCCGTCACTCTCGGCAAGAAGTCATGGTTTTCTCGGCCTTGAGACGTTTGGGCTCCGAAGGAGCGCTCCATTCGCTCCTAGGAAAAAGCGAAGGCCCGGAGCCGAAGGACTTCCTTGAGTTCTGTCCAGTCACAGGAGTGACTCATAGTGAAAGGAACCCCTTGGTCATTGGTTAGCCAGTCTCCACAAGAACTGTATCCAGCAGTTTCAAGGCACATTTCTGGAGTTGACCTTTCAGTGATGGATTCTTTGGAGGTCTTTGGAATGCCACCTTACCCACGTCAGATCAACAGGCAACTAGGAACAAGCGTTGTGATGGACTTGTTTGATGCAAAGGTGAATCGGCCTCCATTCAACGCCCTTCGCTAAAAGCAAGAACTACCATTGGACTACCATCCATGCAATATCCTTAAGCTGGGTGGCTCCACTTCTCATGGGATCACTGTAAAGCCAGAGCACTGGCTAAGACATTATGGCAAGGGAATCTGAGAGAGCTCAGGACCTGACATGTTTCCCAAACCAAAGCAATTTGGCAATACTCAGGACTCAGGGGGCTCCTCAAAGTCTTGTTTGATTTGACAAGGTTCCATTCTGTCACTCCTTTCCAAAAATAAGATTCATCAAATCCTTTCAGCAACCTGCTTCTGGCGTCTTTGCCCGACAACCAAGTAAGAATCCAATGGGGCATAGTTTTTTGTTGGGTTCCAGCACTCATCTTCAAGGTAGACACAAAACAACAATATTATATAGGTCAAACCTCAGAAGGGTTTCAACAAACTCTGAGCAACAAATGCTTCTGAAATCAAGTACGATCGCTTACTGACTCACCCATCCATCAACTCATTTACAACCCAGTGATTATGGTCAGCCACAACCGGCAACCCATTATAACAGTGTGGAGAAAAGACACTCTTTGGTGGCTTTTGTGGAGGATTACCACATTGTCATCTGCCTGGCTTAATGGCCCTATGGGTATCATCAATGGTATGCTGCGAGAACTGAACTATGATCGTATATCTATTTGCTTCTCTTGAGATTATGAGATTCATCTCCATCCCCAAAACTGCGCGAACAAGCACTTCTTTCGAAACCAAGTGGCCACCGGTCCGCGGACCCCGCCCGGACGCTGACGATATACTCTTCCCCATAGCGCAGGAAATCCGAAAGGAAGGCGCTCACCAGCTGATTTTGACCCTGCGATGCTTTGCAACACACCGTGTGGTGTGAAGAAGTGACAGATTTCGCTGATTGGATGAGGGAATTCTGGCACAGACTGCTTGTAGTTTTGCTTGCTGAAATGCTACCACTGCTACCACAAAGAAAGTGGGTGAACAAATATGCTAAAGGTCCAAAACCATTGTAAACAAGGAACAAAACACCTAGCAAATTAGTACAGGTTTATGGATGGACATCCTGTACATCTGAGTGACGCTGTTTATTTCTTATGTGGGCTTTGCACACTCGAGTTTGGTGAGTGGCTGATCGTTTTTTGGAGGCTGTTTTCAGAGTTCTGCATAATTTTCAGGCATCATCGGTGGGGTTGAAACATGTGACTTTTGCCGTGAAATTTTTAGCGGTGCCAAATTTGGAGCTAGTCGAGGAGGACGGTGATGATGAAGACTCCAGCTTCTCGTGCCTCGTTGCGGCTGATCCTGTTTGCCTATCAGCCTAAATATATCCTAATACATCTATATAATATATCCTAGGTCGGAGGATGTCGGAGGCCATCGTCAGTAGGTCGGAGGCCATCGCTCTTATTATACCGGCATTATGCTGTGAATCTGTCCTTCCAAGCATCTTTGCCGATTTGTGTTTGCCGGATCTACTGCTTCAGCACATCTCTTCTTGCAAGTTGAAGTTTTCGGGCTCAGCTTACCTTCACGAGCGTTGTTCGGCAGTTCGAGGCCTTCATTCGACTCAGCGAGCAAATGCTTCAATAAGTTAATAACATGTTCAATTCAATCATGTTCATACGTCTTCAGATCAGCATGTCTTGAGTTTGTTTTGAAGTCATGGACCACGGATATACTGCAAGACAAATGGGAGAGCATCTTCCCGGCACACAATTGTGCACTTTCGGATGTTCGTTTAGGCGATCGGTTCTAAACCGGCTGCTTTACTGTTTGTTTTGGGGAACAATGAGGCTCTGGAGGCTTAGCAGGCGGTCTCAGACGACGAGCAGGTTGAAAGTCAGAATTAAGCTCTGGAGGCTCTGGAGTCGACAATGGCTACTAGTAACAAGGGCATCGCTACTAGTAACAATTGCTTGTGTCTTTTGAGCCTTGCATGAAATTGCCATGCTTTGCATGCAGCAAACTCCAAATGCTAGCTCTTGGGCTTACAAGGGATAGAGAACGGCCAGGCAAAGCTTGGACGGAATACCCCGTCTTAGAGAAACACACCTGTGATACATCACCCAGTGCAAGAAAACATGGACCTATTGCAAACATGGTGATAGATAGACATGGTGTTGTCATTTCTTGATGGACACATTATCTTTCTCCATCTTTTTGGAAGGCAAGTTGTTCAAACCCGATGTCAAGTCCTTTACTAGACTAAGTGTTCTAAGGCATGTAACACGCCTTGCTCATGTGTATAGTAGCCTCTGGACTCAAACGAAACAAAAAGAACCACAAAAATACAACAAAAACACACACACACAAATCAATAAAAACATCATAATTATATAATCAGCTAAGCCAGCTTCAAACAATTTTGAGTCGCTTTACAGCTTTTTACTTGCATGTCCTTGTTTACTTGCATGTCCTTGGCCTTGATTAAACTTAAATTGAGCATCTACTGAGTTCTGGCTGGGTCGTGACTTTTTGACAGACTCGCTACTGGTACAGTAATGAGCTTCAGTTTCAAGGTTGCCCTCTCACAATTCAATGCAAAACCATGCTAATCATACTATGGAGCCATGTTCTACGATACAACCCATCAGTGACTACTGAGACAGAATCTTCGGAGCAGGCCTCATCCGCAGACACGCAGAAAAATGGCTGGGCTTCCTTCCAAATCGCTTGCTCGCTCGGCCCCAAACGAGATGTTCTGGCCACTCG